TGTGATGTAGCAGTATCTAACAATTGATTAGCAATTTATTAAAACATCTATTAATCCTTCAAAATACCTTAATAAAGTACAACTGCTACTTCTTTAAAAACAAAGTATAAAAAGAAATAGCAATTGGCCTGATTTTTCTGGGATACAAGTGCAAAATGAAGTTCTCCTCTCAGGGTATTGACTCTGATATTTGGCTCTTGCTCCATGTACAATCATGTAATGTCTCAATTGATATTATCAGAAGTTCTATACACATGCAGTACATAGTTCAACAGATCAGGCCAGAGGATTGCTGGAGGACCCAAGAGGGTAGCTTCACCTTAATTACAAACAGGGACCTTTGTGCTATTATACCCAGCATGACCACATTTTCCTCTGCTGAAGTGCTGAATATTGGGTTATGTGTTTTGTTTTCCTACGGCTCCCTTGATTGACCTGCTCGAATTCCTCCATTGACTTATGCAAACATTATTTTAAAGTCTTGCTTAAAAACAGAAGAGAAAATATAAAAATTTGTTCTTCAGTTTGTTTTATGGGGGTTCACCTCTCACAGTTGTACTTGAAAATATCCAGCAAGCATTTTCAATGTATGTTTTGCTGTATCGCTCATGCATGATGTTAATGTGACACCTATATATTATAAGAGAAACAGTCTTATGCATCCAATGAAGTGAGCTGTAGCTCACAAAAGCTTATGCTCAAATAAATTTGTTAGTCTCTAAGGAGGCACAAGTACTCCTTTTCTTTTTGCGGATACAGACTAACACGGCTGCTACTCTGAAACCAGTCTTATGCAATGAACACTTACATATTTAAATAATATATGCTGTAATAGAGGAAAGCACATGTCTTTCCGTGACATACAGAAGCAAAATAAAATTTGACTAGTAACACTGTTTATCTACAGTGCATCAGTCTTTGGTCAATAAAAATGATATTTAGATCTCATTGCTATATACTGATTATATGGTATCAGATTTACCATATAAACAAACGTCAACAACTTTGTCTGTAAGGCTGAGCATATAATTATTTTTTTCTTTTTCCTATTGCACTTTCTATTCTGTGACCTCAAAGCACTTTACAAACATTAAAGATTTAAGTCGATGAATGTAAACTAGTTGAAGATCTAGACCTCAGTATATGTCCTCTGAGGTAGTGAATTAACAAACTATTTTTCAGATGGAGAAAATGGGGCATGGCCAGAAATAGACCCTTGGGTTGAAATCATTCCACTAACTTCAATAGACTCAGGATTCTTCGCATGGTCTCCTGAGTCCTAGATCTGTACTTTAACCACAAGACTTTCCTTTGTTCACATCACTGCATTAGACAATGGTAAGTTCATGACCAACGTGTGACTCCATTGTATCTATCTTCTAACTAATACATCTGATTATAACGTTGCAGGTTACTGATTGAACTGATACATGCTGATTGAACTGATACTTTCTATCACTCTCACAAATTTCATTCTGGAAGAATCCTTTCAGGAGCTATTGATGACGGAATAAGTTGGCCCATATATGTTTGGACCATGATCCACACAGTTCCAAGCAGGCACAAGGCCCTGCCTGCATGGAATTCCTTGTAGTACCAGGGCCTTAGTTTGCTGGAAACAAGTTCTGTTTTCAGAGTTATTCCCAGAAAAATCTGTCTCGGTGATTTCAGTAAAGAACAAGGGTGTTTTAAAATTCTCTCATTATGTATTTAGAAGAGCCAACGTCAACTTTTAATATAGCGATGCAGTTCAAGCAGGCATATATATATGTTTTGCTGTGTGCGTGTGTACACACACACACACACTTGCATCGCTATATATACCCAATTAAAAATCAAAGGAAATAGTTTCCCATAAAAAACTCTGGTGTTAAAATGGTATTAGATTTAAACTAAGAAAAGCAAAGAAAATTTAGACTTAAGGCTAAAATGTGATCCTTAACATGTCCCAGGGTGCTTGTTGATTGTAGCACATTCACCATAAAAAAAATCTCCCACTGTTAACAGACCTCTGCAATACTGAGACACAACAGGATGCATAAAAGACGGAGTTTGAGAATTAACTCCCTATTTTCTGGCTTCTTGATGTTTTCAGGCAAACTAAATATTTTAACATAATTTTGCATGCACATAGCACAGTGGTTGGTGCTGTATAAATTCTCAATATCTCAATATTATCATGTATATCTAAACTATAGAGTGGCTATACTTAGTAAGACACTTATTTACATCTACAAATTACACAGAATATAACTATTAATTATTCGTATTACAGTCGCAAGTAGATGCCAGCTGAGGTAATGACCCCATTGTATATGCAGCATACCACCGCCATGAGATATAAACCGCCCTTGCCTGCAGGGGGAAGATATACATGATTTCCTGTCACAAGCAAATGGGAGCTGATGGGGAAGGCCAGGAAGTAGCTCTGTATCTAGCAGTGCATAGCTTTTGAGAGATGGGCTCATAGTCAATACTTTTTAAAGGACTCTAGTGAAAAATGAGCAAGTTATTGAGTCATAGGGGCGGGGTGGGTAATGTAAAATATGTTAGATTACAAGGCATGTGTATCAACCATATTCAGTGAGAATAATGTGCTGAGTAGGGCCTCAATTCAGCAAAACACACAAACCTGGGACATGAGGGCATGGAATGAGGGGTGTCTATAACGTCCTTTTGTGTAGAGCAGCCACTGCATTGGGGCATGGGTTGAAAAAAAAAAAAAGGACAAATTATTTCTTTTCTTCCTTATTTTTTTTAACCAAACCTAACAGGCATTATGTTTACCAGAAACAGACACATTTTTGGAAATATATGAAAATTGCCTAGCGAGATTTTTTTTTACAACCCCAACCCCTGTGCTGGGAAAATTATCAATGTTTTCCAGTAAGCCATCTAAATTTATGATGCCTGAAGATATTTTATATACCGTTTCCCAAAGTAGAAATTACAGCAGCCTTGTATTTTTGCCCTGAGGTCCTTTTCACAGTTATACATGCAGATGATCTCTAATAAATTGATTTATACTCCTCTGTTTCATGACAGAATTACTCATTATAAGAAATACCTCTCACTCCACTTAAGGGCACACGGTTTTGTAAATGCTGAGTCAGTACATGTGAGTGTTTAACAAGCCAAGCCTTGTGTTTCAAAACAGCAATATAGGTAAACACCCCCCTTTGGATGAAGTCTAATTTTACAAAACTTTTTTAAACCCAAAAGAGTCTGAGTCTGCCTGTTTGATGATAGAGTATTGTGCTATTTCCCTTCATCTTGTGAATGCCTGATTTGATTAAAGTTTGGGGCATCTCCTGAGATCTTCATAAAACTGGGGTTTACTTGGATTCAAATAAGAATCTAAATAATCTTTTGTTTAAAAAAACCTCTTCCTCTTTGGACTATGTACTCAGTTAACAATATAATGTAGAGAAATACTTAAATGTCAGCTGTGATATTCTGCATTTTTCAGGATCAATGTCATTTCTATCAAATGATCCTCATTTTGAGTGATGTTACTCATTTTAATTCCAAGGTTACCCACATTCCACATAAAACTCTTCCCTTTCACTTTTATTTCTTAAAAACCGTTTGTAGTAGAAATTAAGACTTGTGGAACAGAGGTTATGGAAACTTGTTTATGCTAAGGGAATGAATCTCACAGCATGTTCAGTTTCCTGTATAAATGCTTTTTTGTGAGTTCTTCACTTTGGATCTTTGTTACATGTTGCATCCCACATTTGGGTCTTGGCTGGTTGAGGTATGATCAAATGTACTATTGTACCTTTTAAAATAAAATAAATAGTGTTATTTTTTCCTACTTTTTTTAACAAAAGTTGCAGAATATGGGTAACACAAGATTGTGGTGGGTGTGACTTGGTCCTGTAGGGTCTTTTGTTATAGCTTCAATCTTGTAGAGATTTACACAGAACTGAATTTACACACGAGTAGTTCCACTGAATTCAGTTGGCCTACTCACATGCATAAGTCTTTACAAGACTGAGGCCTATAACATCTCTCTAGCTGTAGCATTTGTAAAGTACAAATCATTGTATTATGTACTCTAGAGTACTGATCTACCCAAGCACTTAACCATGTGAGTTGTCCTATAGAAATGAATGGAGCTCTTAACACGCTTAAGTGCTTTGCTGGATCAGGGCCTATACCGGAGATAAAAAAGACTCTAATTTCAGGTTCTTTCTGAAACACTTTTTTCCTACCTCTGGCCTTGGCACTCTCTCTTATGGACAATTTGGAGGATTTACATATTGTTATTTAGTAGGTTTAGGGGGAAAGTTATTTTTGTTTTTGTTGTTTTAAATGAGGCAAGTGGCAGCCTAATTAGCATAGTTGACAAATTATTACAAAAACTAGATATGTGTAATTGGAAAGTGAGGTAACTGATTATACATATTTTTCATGTGAAAATTAAAGTCCAGGACTCTGCTGCCTTTGCTCATTGAGTTTAGTTTTTGCTCAGTTACACATTTTGCAGGGGTAAACAGGGTTTAATGTATACATTGGAAAGTTGCATGTTGTGTACAGTGGGTTTTCCCCCTCTCCTTTCATGGGCTTGCCTGAGAGAAATTGTGGAATGCTTTTTCTGCCAGGCAGAGTGCTCGCTCTCCCGGTTCATGGTGTGCCTCTTGCGGCTGAGAGGCCACTTCTCTATTACGAACCAGAAGAGAAAAATTGGCAAAAAGTAAGTGCCATGGGATTTTGCTAGAGTAATTACCCTAGTCTTCAATATTAATGAGCAATTAGAGCACTGTCCATGAAGCAGTCCACTGATCCTACGGCTCAAATGAGGACAGTCCTGTGGCTTTGCCATTAAGAGTTTAACTATTTGTCTAAGTGGGAAAGCCCTGGGACTGTTGTGGTTACTGTTGCTGTATCACAGGACTGCTCCAAGTCTGTCACTGAATCATAGCAAGCAGGCTCGCTGTGACATAGCGTATCTCTCGTCATTGCTTAAAGGAAGGAAGGCCAGGGAACCCAAAGTCTAATCCTGCACTAGTATTATCTGGAGGGATGGGAGAAATTCCTCCTTTAAAAAAAAAAAATATTTAGTCATTTTTAAAAAATAATTCTAGACGTTGGGTGGGATTTTCAAAAGTGCCCAAGTAACTTCGGAGCACACGTCTTTTTATTGGGCACGTATTCCTAAATTTGGGTACGTCTACAAGGGAAAAAAAGATCTGCGACAGTGTCTCAGAGCCCAGGTCAACTAATTCGGACTCATGGGGCTTGCGCTACAAGTTTAAAAATAGCAGTGTAGATGTTCCTGCTTGGACTGGGCCCTAGGCTCTGAACACCGGCAGTGGGAGAGCAGGGTTCAGAGCCCAGGCTGTATCCCAGGCCTGAATGTCTATCTTGAGGTTACTCTAACTTGTGCCATTTGGAAATGATTCCCTAGGGAAAATAATGAATTTGAAGAATCTGGGGTTCATAAAAAGGAGATGTGCAAATATCCTCAGCATCATCGAAGTTTTATTTAGAAGAAAAATGGGGGGAAATTGAAATATTTTTGTAATTTTTTTCTCCTTATTTTCCAGCCAACTGTGCTGACGATACAGCAGCCCAAAAAACCTCAAATCTTCTCAAGGGATCTCAGATACCTTGGCCTGTTTCTTTGCCTCATCTACAGCCACAGGATAGGAATGCAGAAGTTCTTTGGACTCCAAGCTGTTCTCCTGCAACCAGCATTTCTACCAAGCTGTTTTGTTTGTGCACCAGGCAACAGAACTAGTAAGTAAACAAATAAATAATTTTTGCAATGAAAAATGGCTTTTCAACCAAAACACAAATGTTTGCAGGGAATTCTTGTTTGCTCAACATTACAGTTATTCAATTAAAAAAACAATTTTTGGGCAGGTTTTCAGTATCAGGGTTTTTGTCTTTCTACCTCTCCCTTCTCTTCCTTTATTCTGCTCCTCTGAAGGGGGGAAGTGGTGGAAAACCCTCAACATTTAAACTATTTCATGATGTTTTGAAATGAACCAAAATTCATTTTTCTCAAAAAAGAAAAATAGATCCATGAAAAATGTTGTAACAAAATACGTATTTTTGGTTTCTTTCAAAATTCTGGGCAGAAAATACTTCCTATTTTTGATCAGCCTTACCAGATAAAGCTTGAGGAGTAAACATCTAGATTCCATGACATCAGTGTTCATGGACAGCTCTGTTCAGTTCACACAGAGTCATCAACTCTGAAAAGAAAGAAATGATATTGAAAGTACAGCAATCACAGATGATGGCAAAAATCAGTTTCCGTGACAACATGACCAGACTGTAGCATATTTTTAAAAACAAAAACAAATGAGGTTTGAAACATACCATATTGAAATAGATCCAAAAATATATTCACACATAATGTTTTCTCCTATCTTCAGTGCTTAATTGACGCTTGAATCTGAAATGGAGCACTCCCGACAATTGAGTTGTGTGTGCTTGACTCTGTGTCATAGAAATATATTTTGATATCTAGGCTACATTTCCTTTTTGCCTGTAGATAGTCAGCCACCAGGCTGAGGCTGCTCTCTGTTGATTAAACCATGTTCCACTAAAAACCTGCAGTGCAAATACATGTCGGCAGAGCATGTTCTGTGTACTGTTCCCTCTCATGTGATAAGCGGTGCATTTCCTCAATGGATGCACATTGCTTACATTTTTAGAGCTATTAAGCTGGGATAATTATGGAACAATCTAGGCAATGTTCAGTAGCCCATGCAGATGCCTGACAGGGCATGTTGTCTCTTAATTAGGAATTTGAATGCCTAATGCTTGTATATTAACTGAAATAATTGGATAGATGTTTTACATTTTCTTCAGCTTTACTGACAACTGAGCAAGAGACTGCACAAATCCACGCATCTTTCTAAACCAGCTCATTTTATTTGCACATTCTAGGTGGTCTAATGTGGTGGTTAAGTGCGGCTTTTAGGAGAATTGATTCTGTCTATTGTATAAACGTACTTTGTGATGTCTTTTAGTAAACCTAACATTTTAAATCTGGCATTTTACTGCTTCAAATAGCTGTCATGTAGTATTCAGAATAACTGCCACTCTGCACCCCTTTAGTTACTTGGAATTTAAGTTACTGGTAAATCAGTCATCATCATTATTATTATTATTTATTGCTAAGTGCTGACAGTGGGCTCTGCATTGTTAACAAAAACAAAAAAAAAAACACGGGGGGGGGAGGGTTGCAATCTAAAAGCCTGATCCTTACTCACACAAGTAGTTCTCATTCCCCATTCACTTCTATGGGACTGCTTCCGTGAACAAAGGGCTTCTCATAGAGTAAGGGATTGCTGGATTGAACTCTAAAGCTCGGATAAAGAAAGCAGCTCCGCATGCGTAGGCCCATGCCCCTGCACAGGGCCCTGCTGAAGCTAAGCAGGGCTGCTCGGGTTCAGGCCCTAAATGATCTGTTTTATTATTCCCGAGAGACACAATGGATGAGGTAATATATTTTATTGGAGCAACTTCTGTTGGTGAGAGAGACAAGCTCTCAATCTCTTTTGAAAACAGAAACCACAGTCCTAACCCCATCAACACTTAGGCTATATCTACACTGGCATTGGAATGACAAAACTTTTGTCTTTCGGAGGTGTTAAAAAAAAAAACACCCCCCCACCCTCCCGAAAGACAAAAGTTTTGCCCATGCCAAGCGCCAGCGGGCCTGCCGAGAGCAATTCCGGGACCCAGGAAGAACAGTCAATGGGTCCCCTAGAAAGGGATGGCTCAGGTTTTTGGGTGGTGCTGCACCTGCACTGGCTGGTACGCAGCAAGCTGCTGCCAGCTGCACTGCTGGGCACACTCTGCCGGCATGGCCAGGGCTTCCACATGCCTGCCTGGCTACCTTCACCACCGCTGGTACCACCCCACATGGGTGGCGGGTATGGAAGGCAGGGGGAGGCTGTGCCCCCCAACAGCTTTGCATGGCCCTGCCCATGCTCCACACCCAGGCCCCTTTCTACTTCCCGGGCTGTTCTGCTGGGGGCTCTTCCCCGCATGGCTGGGGCCCCAGATTGGGGCTGGGGTGGCTAATGGAAGCTGCCCAGCGTTCCAGGGCTGGGGGGCTGTGCCACCCACTCACCCTACTGGCGTTCTTTCACCCTCCCGGCATTCCGGGGGTGTATGTGTGTGGGTGATACCCGCTCAGCTGCCTGGCGTTCCAGGACTGGCAGCACTCGAGCAGCCTAGAGGTGTGTGGGCGGGGGGGGGGGGGGGGACGACTGGCTGCCGTGCCAGGAGGGGGGTGGGCCTCTCGCGGAGAGACAGGGCCATGGGCAGCAAGGATGGTCCTGGCCAGGGGCTAGCCTCCCTAAGCCCAGGGTTCAGCCGCCTCTACCATGGCTGTGGCACTATCCGGGGGTCCCTGGGCCCTTTTAAATCACCCAGGCCCCTGGGCAAATTGACCCCTTTCCCGCCCCCCCTCCCCCGAATTGCCTAAGCGATTGTGTGAACAGCACTTTGTTGGCAGGAGCATTCTCCTACCGACAACGCAAATGTTGCGCTTTTGGGGTGGAAGTTTTTTGTCGGCAGGAGAGCTGACAAACAGCAGCTACACTGCGCGACTTTTAGCAGCATGGCTGTAGCAACACAGCCATGTCGCTAAAAGTTGTGTAGTGTAGACATAGCCTTAGACATGTGAGTAGTCCTGAGGAACCTATTCAGGTGCATAGAGTTAGATACATTTACAGGATCAGAGCCCAGTCCCACTCCCTTTGGCATCAAAGGAAGCAGGATCGGGTCCTGTATAATTAGCTTATTTAATCTTCTCTGCTATATATGCGAGGAGGTACCATGCACACCAGCATATACATTGTTTATATTTAGGATACTTGATAAATATGTGTTTATCACTATTATTAATATAAAAGCTCCTTTAAAAGCAACAAATTGCTCTCTATTAGTAATGTGCATAATGACCTATTTCCATAAACATTTTTAGTAAGAGAAATTTGAATGTGAAAAACCCTGCAGACATTTTACGGAAATTAGACTGTATTGTGCAGAAGTACATCATAGTTGTATTTTGTTGTTTAATATTTTGTTTTGAGAGGTGAATTACTTTCTTCCTGATATATAGTGTGAAAGAGGCAACCCAGTGTAGAACAAGGGAAAAATGACTCTTAATATGTTTTTCTCTTGCTAATGTTTATTCACTTGATTGACGTAAGGAAGTTTTCGCAGAAAATATACAGGTTATTTATTTATTTATTGCAGAGTCATTTAAAAATACGTGTTAGTCATTTTAAAAATGTCCCAGAAATCTAATCATTAGGAAAAAAATAAGGAGATGTCTTTTATGGTCAAAATGATTAAAACAACCTCTGAATCTGTATCTATGGTATTGTTTTTCTATCTACCTGATCTGTGTATCTCCACATGATTTCCATACCGAAATACTGGTTAAGTATGCAAAAATAATACTGTACTGAAGTTTAGATGCTGGTTGAGAGATTTAGCCCCAGGAGTTAAATTTGCTTTAACTATGTGTTTTGGGTTGAAAGGCATGCAAGCATATCAATCAGTATTGTGTATAGCCCAAACAGCAGTGCCCTGTGTTTTGTATAGTATGTAGACCTTGCAGCAGAGGAGTTGTTATATAACTCACTTTACATTTGTTTGGTGTAAATAAGGTTTTTCTTCTTCACCAAATGGCTTTTAAATTCTGAAATACTAATTATCCATCCTGCATTCTGTAAAAATAATGCACATGGAGGGTCAGATGATCATCTTATGCACATAAGCAGTTTCACTGAGGTTATGCAAGTAAAGTGGGCAACATTTGATCCTGAATTAGGTTAATAGCATCCGATAAAGTGGACTGTAGCCCACGCAAGCTTATGCTCTAATAAATGTGTTAGTCTCTAAGGTGCCACAAGTCCTCCTGTTCTTTTTGCAGATACAGACTAACACGGCTGCTACTCTGAAACCTGTTAATAGCATAGCCACACAAACTAGGTAATAGAAGGAAATGCCAATACATCTAATGCTAAAAGACTGAGCAATTTTTCAATTCTGTGTGAAATAAATATTTTTTTCAAAAGGAACATTAAATCAAAGGTCTAGATATTACGAATTCTGAGTTCTATTCCAGTAATACTGACAAATTTTGTGAACTTGGGAAGGTCACTTAGGTACAATTTTTAAAGGGATTTAAGCTTCTAAGTCACTTAGGTGCATTTTGAATTTTTTCCTATCTAGCTGTGCCTCAATTTCCCCATATGTAGAAATATGGCTCATAATTAGAGCCAGGGGAAAATTTTCAGCTGAACTTCTTTTCAGTGAAAAATGCAGATTCAGTGACACCAATCTATTATGCAAGTTTGTACAATTTTCCCAAAATTCTTTGTGTTAAAAAATTACAAAAATGTTGAAACACATCTTTTTGATTTTTTGTTTCCAAGTGACATTTTGTTTCAAAAGTTCCTTCAATTTGATATTTTAAATACATCTGAAATGTTAAACTGAACATTTTGGGGAAAAATGTTTTTGCTTCAATCCAAAACGTTATTTTTTATTTTTCAAAATTGTTATTCACACAGTTCTAATGATAATGCTTGCTCCAGCTTGTAAAACTCTCTGAGATCAATAGATAAAACATGCTACATAAGCTTTCAGCTCTATTGAAGATTTAAATATTTGTAATGCTATTGAAGAGAAAAGTATATTCTTATATTTCTAATTCTGTGTTACAAAACTGATATGTAGCAGCTATTTTTATTCCTAAATATGCATTTGCTAATTTAATGTGTTTTATTCATGTATTTGTTTCATTTAAAAATTTGAACTACATAGCTGAGTTGGAGAAATCTTAATTAAAATGGAGATTAATGAGAAGGTGTGTGAAATGTATACATTGTGGACCTGATTCAGGAAAGCACTTAAGCAGGTGCTTAACTATAAGCATGTGCCATTGATTTCAGTTGCATTGAAGCATACATTTAAGCACATGTTTAAGAGCTCTGCTAAACTGGGGCTAAACTGAATGCAGAGCTGGACATTACTATTACTATGGAGGACTGAACCAAGGGCACACAGGTTTTTAAGCTGTAACAAATACAGGGTTAAAGACAACCCTCCTGACATGTGGGCTCATGCAAAGTGCTGCTGAATGTCTAATCCTCCCACAACCAAGCAAGTGAGAGTAGAGGGTCCTCAATACCTTGTAGTATCAACTCATATGTTATAGCCCTATCTTTCTCCCATTTTGGTGCGTGGTCAAGCTCCAATTGACTTTAATGGCAGCAGGATTGGCCTTTATGAAGGCAGGATTTTCTTTGCTATTTTAATTAGGCATTCATTAAACACATAGAGGCAAGTATCAGTACTCTGCCATCATTATTGCTGCATGCTATACACAGTCAACAGAAAGAAAACCTTAAAAACAGCAGTAAAATGAAATCTGAGATGTTGAATTAGTCAAGTGAATTAATGTACATGATCATTTACTTACTGGTAATTTTGCTGAAAGATAGAGCAGAATGAGCCTGAAAAGTAATTCAAGGGTTTTTTTATGTGGGGGTTGTCAAA